AAGCTGCTCTAAAATTACAGGGTGCGGATTATGAGTGTTACAGTTTTACAAGAAGTTTATTGGCTCAAGATGACAAATAGTATAAAGCTAATGAAAAAGGTAGAGAAAGTGCTATTTTTTTATTGCGTTATATACTGCTACACAACAAACATCTGAACTTTTAGCTTTTTCATTGTATCGAAAAGAAAATATCTGACATTTTTCAACTACACTAAAATATTTTCATAGCTTTAAAATAATAGTTATACCTTGGATTTCAACTCATCTATCCACTCAATAACTGCTAGACAGTACCTTTCCCCTCAGGTCATTATTGCTGAAGTGCATTCTACAGCATATAATATTTCATATTCCAATTCAATAAAATAAGTACAGATTGCAGCTAGGGAACTGAATTCAAGATGCTAGCTTTATTATACTATTTCCTCTCTTAATAAGACAATTTCTAATCCAAATCTACAACTTTGTTGCTTCTTTAGTATAAGACTACTTCAGTTAATTGTTTCTGTCAATGCCTTGTGCAACTGTTTAAAGCATGAGTTCCCAAACTGGGGGGCACGAGGCAACCCAGCCCCACCCTCCCAATCAAGTTTTGCTGCCCTGGTCAGTTCCTTTTTTTTTTTTCCTCTCTCAACAAGTTTTGCTGTTGGGGGGTGGCAGGCATGAGGGTTTTTCAAAAATCAAAAAGGGGGCGTGATGCCGAAAAGTTTGGGAACCACTGGTTTAAAGCCACAAACCTGCAAACACATAACAAATAAGTTTAACTGAAGACTCCTCTGAAATAGAATTATACAAAGAACTAGCAGCTACCAATTTATTCAAAGATCTGAGTGTTTAGCCAGTAATGGAAACAGAGTGGAGGCAAGACAACATTGCATATAGTAAAATTAGATAGAAGTTTACAGAGAAAAGAAAAAAAGTGCAAAAATGCAAAAAAGAAAAATGTATTTGCTGACCAAAGAGTTAAAAAAGTAAAAATTAAATAAAAAAGAATTAGACGTGTAAGTAAATAAGGAGGGAAATGAAATTCTGACTAAAATGTCTGTAACAATGAACGATTTTCAAAAATTTTCCTTTAAGAAAAATAAAGAATTATTAAGGGGACTTGCAAAAGAATGATTGAAATCAAATGCATATAGCTTGGCTGTACAGTGATTAAAATGGAAACTGAATTGTCTACTAACACCTGTAAGGGCAATAAAGGAAGTTTTTGTCTTATTCTTGAAGTTGGAAGCAGACGCCAGTTTTTGACTAAATTAGAATAAGGAGCAGTTCTGAAAAAGATGACTAAGAAAAGAATAATTGCACTAGGTCTGAAAATAAATTGGCGCAGCATTGTAAACAGTCCACAACTGGAAACTGATGCTAAATCTAGCAGGCATAACTATAGCATTGTGGCCAAGTGCCTGACATTAAACGTGATGGAGATTTCAAACATTTTAACCATGATCCTGCTGTATTTGCAAAGGGAAAAGTTGTAATTATGTCTAAAGCAGTTTTTGCCTATAATAAGAGTACAATCTGAGGTCAGGGCATGCAGGAAATTCTAAAACTATGCATTTTCTCACCAGATGCAAGATAAAGGAAATCAAGAAAGTTTAATTTTTCCAAAATTAGTACCCACTTTTTGTCATCTCTGGTATACTTGGTTTGAAATTGTGTTAAATCCTATATCGGGGAAGAGAGAAGTTGTCTAAGAAGCAATATTTACAGAAATAAGATACTGTACACCCATCCGACTTCGTGACTCGGTTATATGGTGTGTGAAGTATTACATATAGTACTGCACACATTAGAACCTTATTAGAACTCAAATGCTTAAACTTAGTAATAACTAGGAATGATTACTGCTAGCTTTCAGTTTGTGATTTGTGTAAAAATAGTGAGGTTCTGTGAGGCACATCTACATAGCAACATTATTTCAAAATAACTAGTGTTATTTCAAAATAATGTAGTCCGCGTCTACACAGCTGGCAGTTATTTTGAAATATAGTAGACTTCTGATAATCTGGAACCTATGAGACCTAGGTGGTGCTGGATTATCAGATATGCCGGACTATCAGGAGGTACTATAAGCTGGTTATATATATACTGTATACATTATATACTGTATATAAAGTGTTCTTAACCCTTTTTATTGTACATACTATATACAGTATACTGTAATGTTTTAGTTTTTTTAAGCCTTTTTTACCCTTTTTGCTCAGTTCAGCTGCTGCCGCTGTTACCTTGTGACTCATTTTTTGCCGAAGCTCACTCACTAGGCTCTTGCCATTTTGATGCCAGACTATCAGGAGTGCCGGACTATTGGATGTTAGACTATTGGAGTTTTACTGTATTAGTAGGCTCCCCTTGCAGCTATACATGTGGGAGAATGAACATCTCTTCCCCTACCTTGTACTGCTGTCTTGCACAGAGCCTGTGACAGGAGACTTTCAAAGTATAGACACCAAAAGAATAAGATAATGTCTGGCCATGGTATTCTCAGTGGAGAGAGAGAAGCAGACGTGCTGAAAATGAGAGGGAAAGGAGGGACACACCATAGCAACATGATAGCTGACATATTTAGGCTGCCTGGAATCATCAGTTCAAATCCCAGCAGGCTCAACTCCACTATTCTTCTATGAGCGAGGTAGATTTCCATTCTGTTTGCTGTGTGGATTTGTCAGGGAGGGACTTAAAAGCTGAAAGGCTTACCTGTGTCGATGAAGAAAGGCTTCTTTGTCGGGGCATCGCGTCCAGACTCTCCCGATCTGCCGACAAACAGCTGATCGGCAGATCGGGGCAGCCATTTAAATTTAAATGAAGCCGCGATTATTTTAATCGCGGCTTCATTTCCCCCTTCCGATCTCGCTAATCTACATGCCTCCGTCGAAGGAGGCATGTAGTCTAGACACACCCTTAGTGAAAAAGAGGTCAACAACACTAAAGTAATACCTGGTGTTTTGAGGACAACTGAAGCATTTCCAGTACAGAATCAGGGAATGTGTATGGTCACTGCACACTCACAGTAAGACCTTTCTAACAGTGTCAGGAAACACTGCACTCCAGCATACTCCTTTGTGGCCTCAGCACTCTTGAGGTTCCTCCAATGAATTACCCAGATCTAGGCTGTTTGAAAACATGTACCCTTTCATGGGATCTGATTTAATAAATCTTTCTACAAAGTGTTACTCACTGTTAGTTGCTTCACAAGTTACACTTTGTAGAAAGATTTACACTCTGGGTCCATGTAAGAGTCTTGATCAGGTCTTGCATCTCAGTTCAGGAAACACCTATCTCCCTTCCTGGAGCCAGCGTTGTGCTTCAGATGGTCACAATATCAAATCCAGAGTCCATCTCAATGATCATTAGAGCTGCATTGTGAATTAACCAGTCTCTCTGGCTCACCTTAAACAGGAGTCCCCCACCCTCTTCTTTTTGGAGTTGGATTGCTGATTAACCAACCACAGGGCCTTAACAAATTACCTCTTGGCTGGCCCCTTTTCCACAATTAGTTGCCAGGCTCAGAAGTCCAGTAGGTAGCCTTCCCTTGCTGGTGTTTGCCTTGCAATGAAAGAGGAGGTAGCATTTATGCAGGTCCTGCTCCTTACATCCCTACTTGTTAGGATGAGAGGGGATCCTTGTCCACTTTTCTGCAAGGCTCTGGAACTCAGGCTCTTAAAGCATCAATGATTAGATGCTTTAAGGAAGCACAAAATACTCCTGAGACCATTCCTGATCTTTCAATACCTCTACGTTCTTGTATATTCATTAGAACTTTCAAACTTAAAAGTAAGGGGTGAGACGGAATGGCCATTAATCATCACTACTCTTAAAATCTGAACGGCCAGTCTGTCGTTTTTTCACTTGAAGGACAGACAACTGAGCAACAGGAAAAAGGAGTTGAAGGAAAGACAGAAGAACAGGGCTTTGTCAGAACAGGAATCCTCCATTAAGTTCTTGTATATTCATTAGAACTTTCAAACTTAAAAGTAAGGGGTGAGACGGAATGGCCATTAATCATCACTACTCTTAAAATCTGAACGGCCAGTCTGTCGTTTTTTCACTTGAAGGACAGACAACTGAGCAACAGGAAAAAGGAGTTGAAGGAAAGACAGAAGAACAGGGCTTTGTCAGAACAGGAATCCTCCATTAAATTAAATGTACCTGTACACTGCCTCAGTATCTGAGAGGACAGCATTTATGACAGAGGAAAATTAGTTTAATTTTAACTTCTGTACAAAGATTGCTGCACGTTTTGACATTCTTGAGGGTTCTGGAAGGGAGCAAGGTGCCAACACTCCCTAAGAGAGGAAGAACTGCTTCTGGTTTCTTAGACCTAAATCTAGGCTGTCCTATCTACATTATTCAGCGGTGTGAAACATTTTACATTATATGCAACAAAGATCAAACACAAGTAGGTTGATGGAAAAAGTTCCATCGCTGCAGTAAGTGCAACCTTACACTGGTGTAACTGCAGCACTTGTATCATAAGCATTCCCTTGCTACCTTTACAAATGGAACACAATGAGAGAGCTCCTCAGCTGGTGCAAACTGGGCCACCTACTACAGCTGAGGTTCTGACCCAGGGTTGTACACGTGCACAAAGTTGAGGCTGCATATTTAAACTTGACCTGTGGGGTTTTTTTTAGTTGTTGGAGTGGCAAACTAGGTAACCTGACACTGGTTGACACCAAAAGGATAGTTTATGCATTTAATAGAGATAATGAGAATGAAATGTTTTCATACTTCATTTGAAGCCCAAACAAACACGGCCTTCCTTCTCGACTGGACGATAGAAATACCAATTTCTCTGCGTATCCCTCTCCATGCAGAGTGGAGAAACATTATCTCATTGCCACCGTTCCTAGATAAAGTGGAACCCCCATCTATTTCACCCACTCTCCAAAATATTTACTGGAATAAATATTGGAATAGTTGGAATATCCAATGTATTTGAAACTTCCTAATATAGCTGAATAAGCTAAATAGTTAACATTTTAAGACATCACAAGGTGTTATTATTCAAGATACTTTAATAAATTAGGTCAATATACATGTCAGACATTTCTGTTTTCACAACAAAAAATTGAATTTAAAAATCAAATGGTTAAAGTGAAAACAGATTCATTTGGCTCAGCTGGGCTGCTGCCTTAGCTAAAGAGTGCACCTGTTAACATTTAGTATCTTTACAGAGTGATCAGTTCCACAACTTGCAAGCTGCAACCATTCACTGTTGTCCTGGTCATTATGTCCAGCTCTGCCCACACGATTTCTCCAGCATAGCCGTTTGACAGCTAGAGTGTGACTTTGGCTGCAACAAAGAAGGAAGACATTGGAAAAAAAAGGATGCATACACCAACTTTAAAATGTCAAACTCAGCTGGACTTCTGATTTTATACGTCATCATTTATCCAATTAGTGCACTCCCTTTGAATGCTACCAGCTGAGAAACATCGACTTATCACAACCTGCGGGTTTTAAACACCCCAGAATTTCTGGGATTAACAACACTAATGACATTTCATCCTCTCACTTGTCAATAATTAAAACTGCTATCAATTTCAAGTTTCACCATATTCGATTTAGGTCACATATCTCACTTGCTCAGAAATGACACTGCTGACTAAATACTAGAAATCTTGTTCGATGAGCCTTTCAAACCGACTAAGTGCACATGAATCAAAGTCACAATGTTCAATTACAGACTAAAATATGAATCCCAATTTTCTCAATATATGGTGGTGGTGATGGTAAAGGGTGATTCTAGTGCATTGCTCTGATTGGAATTTATTTATACATCAGCTACAAAATCAGAGGAACAATGTAGAGTCCCTCACTGTAGTGTATGCTAAAACACTGCTGTCATTTACAGATCTCAGTCTAAGGTTTCTTGCTAATTATCACATCCAGGCCACCAAGAGAAAGAGTTAGGTCCAGCGTTCCCTCTAAGCTGCAGGTGATTAATCAGCTCCACAGTCAGCTCTGTGCATGGAACCCTGAGCCTCTGCCTGGAACCCTGAGCCTCTGCCTGGGCAGAGGCTATGCTGCCCTGCAGCTTAGAGGGAACACTGGTAGGGTTCCCCTACCCCACTCTGCACAGCTAGCAGGAGAATCCTGGGAGCAGCTTGGCTGTACGATGGGGAAAGGTGGGAAGAGGGGAAACTGAACACACACTGCTGGCTGTAAATATGCACGCTTTGCTAATCAGCTGGGCAGCATGGAGAGAAATGCTTGGCAGGCCGAATATGGCCCCTGGGCCGGATTTTGCTCACCCCTCACCTAGTGCTTAGGTGCATCTTTGAGCTGACAGGAGAATGTTTTCATTTCCACTTTTGAGTTTTCAGTATTTTTCCTTCCACATTAGAACAAACACCAAACCTTTTGAAACATTTTCACAAAAACGAATGTGTCTGTGCATGTCTGGCTCTCTCCAGCCAGGTTATTAGTCTGAAATGTGGAAGACCTATGTTCAAGTTTTTGCTCTGCCAGATTCACAGCAGTTTTTCATTCCAGATCACACCAAAGCTCACAGAGCAGGGTACTTTAACACAGGTCTCTGACATACCAGGCCAAACTCCTAACCCAGTGGTAGGCAACCTGTGGCTCCAAGGCTGCATGTGGCCCACTGGGGTTCTATAAGTGGCTCATGAGATATTTTGAATACTGTTGTCCACATGCAGGATTGCTAGATTCTGCTGGTTTCCATCCACATAATTTTTTCCCTACTAATATTACTAAAGTGACATTTGGGCCAAATTAAATGAACCGAAGAACTGTGTTAAATGACTATTGGAACAACTATAGTTGGGACGAATTATTAGAAAGTCAAATCCTGACTCAGGCCTTTCTGTCATAGCTATTGTCCCATGCCAATACCCAATGAATAAAGAATTAAGATCCCATGGTGGATGCCATAGATTAGTTGAATCACCATGCCTTCTCTTATTTCCTACTCCTCTCTACAGTGTAACAGTGTTTTGTTTTTTTAAAAACTTTTTAAAAGCTTCAATCCTATCCTAAAAGTCACAAAGGATTTTTAAAAACTGGGTTTATGCCCTTTTTAGCCTCCCTGTGATATCTAATATCAGCCTGAAATAGAAGATTTTTAAGAACAAAAATATTTTCTCCCTTGGAAATATCAGGAATTATTTTTGACTGCTTTCATGATACACTGAAATAAATTTAATTCAGAATTCTAATATGGTCTATCTCTCAAGAGAAAACTCTTTCCTTGCGTATGACTTGTAAGCCAGGATAGGTTTGGAGAATTGCTCATGAGCCCTTTCACCCAAAAAAAATACCTGCTGTCAGTCTCAACACATTTGGTCCAATCAGTCAATGCTGGTCTCTGCTCCCTCTGCTTCCACGTGTACAAATTAATCTTCCCACACTCTAATCCTACTGCAATGATGTAACTGTTGAGAAGAAACATCATGTTATTTCCAAAAAGGCTGAATCTGTGATTTAAAAAAAAAAAAAAAAAAAAAAAGGAGGACCACTGAGCAAATCATACATATTTTATGTTGAAGTCTGCTCTTTATTTCAGTATTGTACCATCATCAAAATAACATGTAAATGGAAACAAAAATATCATGTTAAATAAAACAAGAGCAAGCAATAGGCCTAGAAAAGATTTGCTCTGACTCAAGTTAAAAGAAAAAACCAAAAACAAATTAACTCTGCAATGAAGAGTTAACAATACCTTTCATCAGGAGCAAGCACATGGCTGATACTGACTGCAGTGACCGAATCCCCAACATCCAATATTGAAGAACAAGGCTCCATTACACCTAGTCCATTGCTTTCAGTAGCTCCAGCTGAGCCACATTCACCCCAGATAATAACCTATTTGGAATAGGACAATCAACTTTTATCTTTTATGTACCTTGCTTAAGAAGCAAGAATTCTTTAGGAATAAGAATAATTTTGTACTGTAGTATGCAGGTGAGCATAACTCCTTTTTTCCTCTGAAATAATCAATAGCTTCTATTCATATAAATTAAAATCTCTCTTACAAACAGAGTTTAGAGTGATATTATGAAAGATATTGGCAACAATATTTGGTAAATACAAATCTATTTGTAAAGGATGAGTAAATTAAATTACAGAATCCTTGATTAAAAAACACAAAGTTACATCTTCTCCTTTTGTTACTATACACATTAAAAAACGAGCAAATCTTGTGTTAATATTCATTGGCCATAATCTGGTACATTTATATGTGTGCTTAGCTTTATGCACCCAATTAGCCCACTGGTTTCCACATTACTATGTGATGCAGTTGATATGTCCTAATATGTTTATTTCAAAATAATGCTTGCTTTATGCTGCTGTTGTTTATGTTTTAAAGTTCCTTTTATATTGGTTACCTTTTTGTCACGACTTCCGGTAATGAAATATTTGCTGTCTGGCGTCCAATCACAAGACCAAATGATCCGGCTATGCACAGCTGTGTTTTTGTCTGTGTATGCAAAGAGGTTGAAAACTGGTTCTGGAATAAAAAAAGTAAACAGAAGAAAAATCCTGTTAGTTATTTTTTTGTAAAACAAATACCTGCTCTTATTTTGCTTTGAAAGCAGTACAGGAAGGAGACCAAGGCTACAGGAATAATCACATAGGGCACAACCTCACTATCTACTCTTCGTGTGCCTTCAGAGGGAACTGGAGATACTCAGCACTTTGCAGGAAGGAGCAAGCCACATTTACTTTCATAATTTATTATACATTTACTGCGACCAATAAAAAATATAACCTGTTGTGTTACAACTGACAGATAATGAAAACAATTTTCTCTTCTGCATGCATTTCTTTCTCTGAAAAAGTGGAACAGTCAAATGTATAGTATTTAAAAATAGCCACAAGAACAATTCTCTATATCCAAAAGAATTAAAAAAGTATAACAAGATGCCAAGAGACATAACAAAAGCTTATTAACTTACCGTTGAAACCGTTAAAAAGTAGTGAACAAGGTTAGCTTTAAACACCTCTTTTTGCATGGATACACCAATGCTAGGTAGCTTACCTAACAGCGATGGGTTTTTATCTTGATTTTTCCACAGTGACCAATTTCTATCTCTGGAAACTGCTAATAAGAATTTGTCATCAGGAGAAAATGCCATCTGAGTAACAGTCAAATTGTGAAAAGACAAACTTTGCAGTTGCTTCCATGATGAGGTGCTCCACAAAATAATAGCTGCATGTTCTTTTTTGGAAGCCTGTGAAAACAGAAACAAAACTACTGAAAATAAAGAAAGGGAAAAAGAAAACAAAATGATAGCCTAAAATATTAGCATGATTTTTTAAAATGTTTGCAACTGAATTAGGGCTGTATTTTCCTCTAGGAAGTCCAAGTTTTATTTTCATTCACAGATTACTATGATAGTAAGGATGTTTCCCGCTTAAACTTTCTACAAAACCCTAGAAGAAGTTTATTAGAACACGTATTAATTATGGCAATTCACTTTCTTTTTAAACTTGCTCAACACTAAAAATACCATAAATAATTCATTACTAATTTTTGCACATTCATTTGCACATGTCTGTAATACCAAATATATGCATTTTATGGACGGGCAAACTATGACACAGAGAAATTAGGTGGTTTGCCCCATCACAGCAAGTCAAGTTGCAGAATCCAGACTGCAACCTAGAATCGTGTCTGCCAATCCTATGCTCTAAATTCAAGACCACAAACCCTGTCAATCTGACATCATAGAACCCCTTTCAGTAAGTGGGGCTAAAATCTCTGTTCCTACCTTACATGCTGAGGCAACTATAGTTTTTGAACTGTTACAAGCAACACAAAATATTTCATAGCCATGACCATATCTGAAATGAAACAGAAAATAAAACTCGTTATACAGATTACACGATCTTAGTGATACACTTCAAGATTTATATAGTATTTTTAAAATATCACAGAGCTTTAAATTATGAGGATATTTCAAGAACAGCAATATGTATGAACATCTAATTTCCAGTATTTTCACCTGACAGCCCTAGACCAAATCAATAAACGGAATATTTAAAAATGTATTTTAAAGAGAATTCAAATCTTTATAATGGCTGGAGGGCCCAATGAGAATCAGGAGCCCCTTGTGTGAGATGCTGTACAAACATAAAGACAAAGTTCCTTCCCAGGCTACATCTAGACTACAGACTTTTGTCGACAGAAGAATCCTTGTAGAATGAGGTTTACAGCTGTCGAAAAAATTGCTGAGTTCTGTCGACGTTATGTCGACAGAACTCAGTGGCAGTGGAGACGCGGGTATAGTTTTGTCGACAAAAGTCCAGTTTTGTCAACAAAACCCTGTAATCTAGTCACACACCCCAGAGTGTACAATCTAAAAATGACAAATGACACACAAGTTTTACATGAACTCCCCCAACACAATACATGCATACTAACACAAATCAACCAGTGTTTTCCCAATAATTTTTTTTTCTGGAAAATCACATTCACTCACATCTAGGGAACTGGTTGTTGGAAGGTTAGCATCCACTCTGAGGCAGAGCCACAGTGTAGTATATTGTCTGAAATGTATCACTGCTGTGTTAGTAGCACTGCTACTAACTGCTGTGTGAGTGAGAATCTGGGTAGAAGACTAGAGGGTACATACTCCTGGATGCCTTAACTTAGTCCGTTTTGTACAAATTAACTTGAAGTGACAGACAATATAGTGGTGTGAGGAATTCATTTCCAGATGTGGGGAGTGGGTAGTTTTTTTTAAGATTTAGGAAGGGAGTTGCAATGAGAAAAACAGGATCTTTGTTAAGCTGTCTGATTGTCTTGGGACTTCACATTCCTGAAAGGGCACTTCTGTGAAGATTTTTTTCTTCATAAAAGTAATCATTACTTTGCTTTAAAACTTCCTATAGAAAACAACAAGAACGATATTGGAATAGCCTTCTCTGCCCCCACCCATTCCCATGCTCTTGAGCTGGCTGAATCAATTCACAAAGAATAAGCTCCTCAACCCAGCAGCTGTATGCTTTGTCAAAGATCTTGTTCTTTGTGCGACTGTTCTCAGCTAGTTGAAGAGCAAAGTACTGTTTTTTCCTCTACAAAAAGAGGAGGAGATCCCAACTGCAGTACAAAATAGAACTCAAAGGAACTTTGTATATAAGACCTAATCTACACTACATAACTTTGGCAATAAAAATGTGCATGAGTACATACCAAAATGCTCCTCACACCAATATAACTCCCCTGCTATGCCAACATAATAAAATCACTCCGACAGGAGGTATAGGACTTGTGTCAGTATAGTTAGGGTGGCTTACATCAGTCACTGGCTGTCATTCCTGTCAATTTCACATGACATTGACAAGAAAGACAGCTCCAGAGCTGTGCTGCTGCTGGGTCCCACTCCATGCTGGGCAGCAACCCAAGCTCCCAGCGGGATGCTCTGCTGCCCCCTCCCAGAAGTAGAGCAGCTGACTGGACTCTGGCCACAGATCATCACACCAGAAGCAAGAAGCTCCAGACGGCTGCCCCCTACCCACTCCCAATTAGGAGGTGAGAAGCCTCGGGGGACAGCTGGGCTTTAGGCCCTGGCTCTCATCCTCTACACTACTTCTCTTGGAAGTGCTCCTAGTGAGGATACGTACTACTGACAGGAAGTGGGAAGGGCAGACATCAGCCACCACAGTAATTTACACAGTGGCTGTAAGTCGAGCTGACAGGTCCACTTACGATTGTAGTGTAGACATAGCCTAACTTTGAAAGAATTCAACCATTATATATTTCATGAATATGTATACATTTACAAAACAATTTTAAAGTTACAGATTGTTAACTATCCTCACCTGTCTCCCAATTGTGTTATATTGCTACCATTACCATCTTATATCTGATGACATACAGCTGCTATTTTTGGTTTTAATTATCTTAAACTTGGAAGTTTCAGACCTTCACAATCACGAACATCACTACAGCAACTGTATACATGGAAAATCTGGGGAGCATTTAAAATAATTTTAGCTTCTTTTAATTAAATTGAGCAAGCGGACCAATGGCAAATGGTATACTGACCACAGCTAAGCAGTGACTGCTATATATAAACTACTGAAGGAGGGTAACATACCTGAGGACAGGCAGCTCTCGTGTACACTAAAATCCCTTTCAATTTACTTTTTAAATGTATCTCTATAGCTCTATATATTTATTCTCTTAATGATCAAGAGTTTCAAACAGTTGAAATCAATTCTTAAATTTATGATGGCAAAAAATTACTAAATAATGTAACCTAAGAGAAATCATAACTAGATAGGATATGACTTCATTCCAAAGTGCCCCTCATTCATCAGATTTTTAAGTGCTTCCAGCCAGTATACACATAATCAAAATCAGGGAAGATACCTGATACCTTAAACAACACTAGAAACTACTAACATTTAACTGGTAAGCAGGTATTAAAAATTCATTTAACTTCTCACATTGTACAAAATCATCAAGATTCTAAGATAAAAAATAAATACATGCATTTCACCTCACTTTATCATTTTTGTTTTCTTTCTTGAAAATACAACCCCCTGTAAAGTAAGTTGCAAGACACATAGCAGCCAGAATATACTTAATGAAATCAAAAGTTAGGGCTGTTGGAAGAAAAAATAAAGTCACAATAAATACTGAATTTCTATAATGTGTATTCACTTTGTTTGGTCCATAAAATTAAAAATAAGAATTCTAATAGATTATAATGTTTATTTAAACAAGTGTGGTTATGTATAGTATACACCATCCTTATGTAAAAGTTACTGCATCATGCTTAAACAAATGTTCATTTATTTGAATGTACAAATATTGAACATAAATATAGTTGACAAAAAAATCTTTAAAGTAACAATTCCATACATAATGCAATTTATTAAGAAATTAACTGGTTCAAAAGTGCATGAATATGAAAGCTGGACAAATGATTCTGGGAGAAAATTAGTTTGTTAATTTAACTAAATTTACTACCTTTGTAATACAGTAGAGTCAGAGGGCAGCAGAAGAGCAATTTTGAGTGAGACAGAGAGAAACATAAACCCCAGGATGATCAGAGCCTTATTCCCGGAGGACTAAGGAGAGGTTACTACAGGTTAATTAGAGCACCTGGAGCCAATTAAGACCCCAGTCCCTTGCTTCAGTCAGAGGAGGAGAAGGAAAGGTGACTACTGACTGAAAGCTGACTGCTTCAGGGGAGGGGAAGGAAAGCTGAGTGCTGTTTGCCCCAATACGGCTATTGACCAGAGGATGGGAGTACCAAGGGAAGGGGAGGAACAGGGGCAGAACTGCAGAGGAAGGAGCAAAACAGGGGTGGCGATACAGCAGGGAAGGAAGGAGCTCTGGGTTGATCCAGGTGAGAGACTGGGCTGAGAGCTCTGCCACAGTCCACACTGGGACTGAAAGCTCAACTCCAGACAGGGCCAAGCCCTCAGTCTCCTTGCCCTGGCTAGGGACAGGGGGAGGGGGCACTCAGCCAGAAGAGGCAGGTCAAGGGGAAACTTCACCCAGTTCAGTGGCGAAATGCCTGACTTGGGATCTAAATCATATTTGCAAAAAGGATTAGGTAGTTAGGAGCCAAAATCCCAAAGCATAAACCCATTTAAAAAACAAGACATAGGCAGTGAAACATCTAAATATCTTTTAAAATCTGCACCCTAAACACTTTTCACAGCTTTACCTCATATTTTTATCTGTGTATTACAGAGGGATGGACATTCAGGAGGGAGCAATGGTTTAAAGCCACTACAATCTTTGGTAAATTGTTCCAATGGCTAGATAACCTACCAGTAAAAATCTGCACTTCTTTCTAGTCTGAATTTGTCTAGGTTTAATTCCTAGCTATTGGATCTTGTTATATCTTTGTCTGTTAGACTGAAGAACCCTGTAATATTACATTTCTGTTCCCCAAAACAAAATATCAAGTCACCTTTTTTCTCATAAGATGGATAGCACTCTGAATCTTCAATCCAATCATTCTCATGGTTCTTTTCTGAACATGTCAATTTTTCAGCATCTTTCTTGAATTGTCAACATCAGACAGTGACTCAATTCTAGTAGCAATATTAGCAGTGTAAAGTACACTCTACTCCTAACTCAATAGCTCCTTGTTTATACTTACAAGCATAATGTTAGCACTTTTGACCACAGTGTTGCACTGGGAGCTCATGTTCAGCTAATTAAACATAACTCCCAAGTTCTTTTAGGAGCCACTGTTTCACAAGATAGCATTCTGTTATGGATGGCCTACATTCTTTGGTCATAGGGTTCTGCTCTCATCTGTTTTTCTTTATTACTTTATTATCTTGTTATTCTTTATTATCTTGTTAGCATACATATTTTAATCCTTCTGCTCTTTCTAAAGGATATTTTAATTATTTTAATTATACTAGTGATAAGGGGTCTCAATGAGGAAATATAAGCTGCCTAATTAGCAGCAGCTGTTTTCCTCAATACAAAACTCAATGGTCAACAAAATGTTTGTTAAAGATTAAGTCTCATTTAATAAAAATTACAAGTTAAAGAGAGAAAAATCTGGTAATTCTGTTCTTCTATAGAAAAGACATATAAAGCATAGCCCCTCAACATCACCCTTGTTTTCCTAACAGGAATATGACTGTGTTCCATGCAAATAAGACACATCCCCAAATCTCCTGTAATTCTGGATACTTAGATGTTTAATAACATGTTCTATATTTTTCATCTCTGAAGAAAACCAATTCTTTTATTTTAGCACTTTTCTTAGCAAACGGGCATTTTCTTTCCTTAAAGCTGTTCAAACTTTGAGCACCGGGTTCCTTCAGTGGCATTTTTTATGAAATGTGTATAACCTGACTTT